CTTGTCTGAGGATCATCATATTTGAGGGTACCCTTAAGCTAAAATCGACCAGTTAGTCTATTGTCTTTGTTTCGCTTTTTTCCCAACTCTTAAAATATATGCCTTTAATCATCGAGATTTGTCTGTTAATTTAGCGTCAACAACATCCACGACGTCAACTACAACCACAGGTAAAATTAATTTTTTTCTATGCATATCACTACAAGTCAAGGGCTGTATGATGACGCAATATTGTTTGAAGATGTTTGACCTTAAGCTAGTAGGAGATTTTAAAAATAGCTCGAAAATGATGATTCATCACTGACCATATGACTGGGACCATCTGTAACCCAAACACTAAAACTTAAATATTGGCGCCACTTCGATCTTTCTACCATTTTTCTACGCTGAAATATTTTCACTTTTAGGAGAGCCGGAGTAGGTTTTCCATTTTCGTTTTTGGCCTTAGCCCTCTGTTTAAATCGTTTATAGTTCAGTAGCAATACACTATTTTCAATTATAAAACAGTAGCCAGCTCAGAATTGATCTCTCACATGGCATCAGGAAAACAATCAAAAAGTTGTTTGAGTGTAAACATCGCAGATCGTGACTTACGTGTCGTGACTGCTATATAAATCCTGACAAGTTTTTAGTAGTTTGCCTTTTTCTTCCTCTTCTACCTTTAAAGATTTGTACTGAGGTGAAATTTTCTATCTACTGATATCACATCTAATCCATTTTCGAGAAAAAAATGTTTTCGATTTCCTTTGAGCAAGATGTTGCCTAGCCAAGAACGGCTACAACCGCGTATTGAACTGGCTGTTAAGTACTGTCTGATAGCCCTTGGGTTATTTATTGGGTGAAAGTTATTAGGCCATCGAAGCAATTCTTTGGCATTTCGCAGGTTGTAACAATCGAAACGTAACAAATTGCTTAAAAGAGGCATTTTTGCAATGTCAAAAAAAAGCCACGATTACGACTGTTTTTCACTATAAACGGCAAATTTTGGACACTTTTTCTGGCTAGTTTATTTCCTTCAGAAGCACGAATTCTCAAATTTTTAAAAATATTTTTGGTCGATTCGAGTCAACAGTGTTGTTGCTGGTATCAGACCCACAGTTAGCGGCGGCGGCTGCCTTCGAAAAAGTTTCGATCACATGTACAATGAAAGAAAAGAAATATTTTCAAATATTTTCGGAATGTTGTGTATGTATCAGTAATGGTAGTAAACCAAAAGGATAGATGATCCAAACAGTTTAAGCGTTAATTTTCCGTTGTACATTTTACAAGGATCATGAATGGCTTGATACCATAATCTTTTTTTAACATTTTGTTGTAAGTGTTAAATGTCTTTCTCGAGTCGTCATCAACAGTGATCTATAACAGGCAATAAATTGACTATTAACTAGCTGTTTTTCAGCTCACATTTAACAGTCATTGTACGAGTTATTAAATGTTAGGTATGGTCCATCTGAAAACTGTTTAAAGGCGTGCAAGAGAAGCAGCATTTTTTTTGTTTTATTGCAGATTGGTCATACTATATTAACTTGTGCGATAGAGAATTTTCTCTTGATCCCGAATAGGGAGTATCAAGGATAAATAGGCAGATGTCTCTGCAGAAAGGTAAAAAATTATCCCCAAATGTCGACAGAGGTCAAGTCGATCCCGTACTGGAACTCTCAAAATTATCTACCTACTTTTATTCTCGATTATTTTCTTCGACAGAGGTAATTAGAAATAACTTAATACTCATTTTATTCGGAATGATCTGTTCTATACTACTGGGTTGTTTGTAAATTTTTTCTACGCTTATGGGCTTGGTTTTTTTGGTTACTGGGGTTCCAGTAATTGTTTTTTCAACGATTTTGATGAAATGGTCTGTGTACTTAGGGCCGTGCAAAAGTAGTGGCGGAGATACTTTATTTCCGTATAAAAAACTTGAAAAAACGTCAATCTGTTTTCAAAACATACGCAATTAAATTCTCTACAAAACTGATGTTGACTATATTTTGCAGTAATGAAATTCTAAATTTCTAGAGGTCAAACACTTCGATAGACTCAAGTTCAACCAATTCCCACTGAATTTTGGAATTGTTCGTGTGTAGAAGTCCAACAAATATCGGACTCATAAAATACGACTCACCAATAGATAGTCCTCAAAATGTCTACTGATTGCAAATACTTAGATATTTTCATTGCTATTTTCTACTCCTTGAATGTCATTTTTTCTAAAAGTCTTATTTGGAAAAAATAGCGCGATTTTCCCGTTCTAGCTGCTGTTTGCAGAAAAAAATATTATGAGAAAGTCATTTACAGCTCAGAAAAGATCATTAATATAAAATTTTGTACGAAAACGATTTACCTTATCTTTCTACTACAAAAAAAGTGAACAAACATTTTTATAGGGCTAGGAAATAGTTAATTGCTGCAAAGAAGCGATTTTTATGATCAAAATTAAATAAAAGAATTTTTGCTATGACAATAGATACCGGGTCGAGAAGATATATCTTTGAAAGAGCTTTTGGTGCACTATCGAAAAATGAATATCTGATCTTCTGAATATTTGTTGTTAGCACAGAAAAAACTTCGCAAAACAATTCCAAAATTCAGTGGGAATTGGTTGAACTTGATTCTACCGAAGTGTTTGACCTCTAGAAATTTAGAATTTCATTACTGTAAAATATAGTCAACATCAATTTTGTAGAGAATTTAATTGTGTATCTTTTGAAAACAGATTGACGTTTTTTCAAGTTTTCTATACGGAAATAAAGTATCTCCGCCACTACTTTTGCACTATCCTAAGTACATAGGTCTTGTTACGATATTCTTCCAGCTATTGAATCACTTTTTTGAAATTGTTTTCATTACCTCTATCGAACAAAACAATTGAGAATAAAGCTAGACAAATAATTTTGAGTGTGATCATACATTCCTCTTTCAAGGTCAAAACATGGTTATCTACTATGGTTTCAAAACGCTTCGCATGTGAAAAATTTGAGACTCGTTCTAATGATTTGCTTGAAAAAACTTTTAATACATGTCTTCACATTATGAAACTTTTTCAGTGACAACGACAGTGACTACTGTCACGACCACAACGTCGACCAGCACAACATCAACTAACGAGCTAATCACGAACGACATTCGGCGTTAGGAGAGAAGAGTTCATAGTAAGTTTTCATGCAATTTTGTCACGAAACAACGGTGAAGTCTGCTCATCGATCTCAAGAAATCGTAAAATTTTAATCTGTGTATAGTTCAGAGCCCGAAGGATAATGGTCACATTGAGTGAGGTTCGGATGAAACTCATTTGACTCTGTTCGGCCTCTGATAGAGTCGAAGGTGCATCTCAAAATTTATTTGTTTTATGTAACTCATTATTCCAAAAATTCGTTTGAAACTCATTCCTTTTTTTGTCCACTGGATTGAGACGCTTAGCTATACAATCTGCGAGCAGTCAGAAAAACAAAAGAAGTAATGATTCAGATTTACTTCATATATTCGTTTTAGAAAAATTTCTTTTCACTTTGGACGATGATTTGTGAGCCACGAATGTATCAATTCCCAAAACAACTTTGCAAGCCAAACGGCTAAGAAAAAATGATTTGTTTTCGATCAGATGCATGCATTAGTAGAAGCAGAGAAATGGGTTGGTCAGAAAACAATGATGACGTCTTTTGTACATAAACTATAGCACGACCACCACAACTTCAACAACAAGTGAGTGATTCTAGTGTTTATTATACCGGTTTTTTTTCAGAACAACGAGAGAAAATATTTGTCTTGTATTTCTTGTAGCCATTATCATAATTTTAGGCCATAAAGAATATACGATGGCTAAGAAAGGCTAAACTAGAGATTAAGGAGGGGGGAAATTCCTCCACTCGGTTTTTCCTATGAGTTTAGAGAGGACACTTTGAAGTATATATTTCAATACCTTTACGGGTACCAGATCTGTTGTTTTTGAGAAAATAATTTTCTAAGTTTAGTCTCGGTTTTTTGCTCCATTTTTAAAAGTTTAATAAAATTTTCAGATTTCTACATATAACCTCGGTTTGGGTGTCAATCGATAGGGGATGTATGTATAAAGAATTCGGCCAGGCTCTGACTGAGTTATTCTGCTATGACCTACCCGATGGCATTCTGGAGCAAGAAGTATTTTTAAAAACACCTTGAACCAAATTTCGCTCGAAGGAAGCATTTTCAAAGAAAAGTGTAGTGTAAAAGTTGTTCAGAATCAGATTCCCTGGAATATGAACGAAGGATTTTTCAAACTTCTTTAAACTCGATTTTTAAATTGAAAAATACAACTTTTAAAATTTTATAATTTAATAAACTTTAATTTAAAAGTCCAGTTTAATAAAATTTTCAAAATCTCTCGTTCATATTCCAGAGAATCTGATTCTGAACAACTTTCGCACCTACACTTTTCTTTGAAAATGCTTCCTTCGAGCGAAATTTGGTTCAAGGTGTTGTAAAAATATTTTCAGTTAGCTAAAAATTAGAGAAACTTTTTAGTTTTGAATTTTTTTGTTAAATTTTCTCTATTTGTAGAGGACACTTCAAAGTATATGTTCTGAAGGTTTTTCGGCTTACTGACATTGTCTGGCTGAGAAAAAAATTAATTACTTAAAAAAATATTGTTAAATTTTTGAGTACGCAGCTGTTATAAAAAAGTTCTAATGAATGAATTGGATTCTAAAACTCTTAAGCTAGCCGATCTTGAGGTGTTGCTTAAAATCTTTTGTTGACTCCTTATTTTGCAAATGGGACCGCAAGCTGGTAGAGTGGGCTAAATTAACGTTAATTAGTGCTCACTAGTTAGTGACAGGAAGGAAAGAACAAATATTTTTACATATTTTCTCGTATTAAATATTCTCTACACATTTCTCTATCGATCTAGCTAAGAACCAAGTTTTTATGATGAATAGAGAATAGACAGGAATTCTTTTAATAATCGTCCCTTGTTCAAAAACTTTACAATATTTTTTAAAGTAATTAATTTTTTTCTCAGCCAGATAATGTCAGTAAGCCGAGAAAACTGCAGGACATATACTTCGAAGTATCCTCTACAAACTGGGAACGTTAGACGACAATCTAAAGGGACTCCCCGCCCTTAAAGGAAGTTCTCTATCCGACAAGACGTGAAAAAAACATTCAGACACTTTTAAGTACCAGCTTTTCCCCCAGAGCCCCGGATATATGGAAAGCCGCTAGCGTCGAACTTTATGTTCGATCCTTTAACGCCAATTAAGCAGACATCTTGAAAAATCTCCATAAAAATATTTTCACGTGATTTGGATAAGAGTTGATATAAATATAAATTAGAAGGTGTGGCATTTTTATGTGTTTTAAATGCCAAAGATAAGAATCCAGTTTAGCTAGTAGTTTGGCAAAACTTGTAGAAAGTGTAAGTGTATGAGAGGTCAATAGAGAGTTTATTCCGGAGTCGCTATATGTACACTGGCGCCACGTGGCATACGTTTTAGGAGGAAAGTATGAATAATGATATATTCGACTGGGACATTGCCGCCATTCTGTTGAAGTTTTATATTTGAATCTTTAGATTACACATCCCAATATTTTGTGAATATCTACAGTAGTTTTGATTGCTTATAACAGATAGAAAATGTGGTGAAAATGCTACTTATTCAGTTTTTACCGCTTACCGCTTAGAAACTGTTTTATCCTGGACGTTTTTTTTGAAAACAAATTCGAACATCCTCTGGCCTTTTTTTCGTTGCATTTATAACGTTACAAAGTGTGCTTTGTTCGATGCGGTATATTATTATGACCACGCTATTTGTATACCGAAAGTGACAAAATTGATGGGCAGCATTTTCCTAGTCCCTGTTTGTTTTTTACAATGGAACTAAAAGCTCATACTTCGAATTTAATTAAACATAATTTTGTAGTCTACCGTGAGAACGCACTGCCTGGTCAAGCGTAACAGACACACGTTTTTCTCTGTGTTGTCCACCTTTCTCCATAAAACGTAAAAGTTCAAAATTTTCATCACAAACGTAGAGCAACGGCCTTAAGGGTCGTGGAAAACTTCGTGCTATTTTGTTTTGCATATCGGTTTCTTCAAATATTCGACAGTACAGTGATCCACCTCAAATCAGAAGGTTCAAAACAAATTTTTGTCTAATTAAATCGAGTGGCACATCATCAGATGCAGTTTTTCTCGCTGATCACCAAAATCAACTTTAAAATTTATAAAAATTTAAATTTTGTAATGTCAATTTACTCATCTAGATATTTTCTTGAAAACAATTTAAAACTATGCTAATCAATAGAGGATTCAATTCTCTACAAAATGGCTTATTGTTTCTCGAAGTTGCGATGCTTCGAACAGGTTTCAGAGTCAAACCAATTTTTGTCCATTCACATCTTCGATGAGTTAAACAAGTTTGTTAACTTTATTTTAAATAGTATCAAACAGAGCACACGTAAGTCTATATATTACTAAAAATTTCAGAAAGTTTGTTTTCGTTATAAATCGTTGAATACCAAAAAATGAAATTCCGTCACGCTTGGTCACGCTCAGTACAGATTAGCATTATCAAATATCTATAAAAATTGTAAGATCGTTCGGCTAAGTAGAAGTTTAGAAACACTCGATACACTCTTTTGTTTTGAAGCGATATAATAGATACCAAAATCATTCAGGTACAACAACTTCGACTTCGACAACATCCACATCTTCGACTAGTACGACATCGACGACTTCAACATCGAGTACTTCGAGCACATCAACCACATCAACTACAAGCACGTCCACCACAAGCACAACAACCACATCGACCACTAGTACAACAAGTAAGTTTTGTTTTTTCGAATTTGTATACGATGGGATAAGCAGCTCTCATTGTCTATCACATTGATAGTGGGACACATCTTCTCTCGTATGAAAACGAACAATGGCAGAAAAAAACGACAACCAGATAATTAGAAAGCCGTTTCAAGGAAAAAATATTTTTTATCGATCATTGCAGCATGTCGTGCTCAATCACTGTTCTTGTGGTTGACTAAATTTTCTATTGTGAATAGTGGCAACTACATAGAAAGATTAAATAAAATGAAATAGTGATACTTTCGTTAAAGCTCTACAAACACGCATAATAGTGTTCTCACTAATAATCTTTTATAATTCGGCATAGAAAGAAGTTAGAGATCTAAAACTTAAATCTTAGGTGGTTATCTTTGAACAGTATAGATTGGCAAAATCATTGACCACAACAAATTTTGTATTTTGATAGTTTAAGGAACAGAAAGATATAATGGGAATTTATTCTTGCTGTCGTTCTGATTCAAAAAAAGCTTAGCTCAAGAAATATTATAAAACTTTTACTTGCTGATTTTACGAGCAATAATATTGATATATAAAGTACATGTTGCGGACTACTAGAAATGATACCATAGATTCATGCACCTCAGTTACTTTAGCTGTAGGAAGGTTCAGAAAGTTGGCAGTAGTCAATAAAATAGCTCTTTTTAATCAGACCAAATAGTTCCTACTTTTTGCGTAATCAACTGATGTAAGCGACATATTCTCTCCTTTTTCCTTACAACACTAATGCTTAGGGATGCATCAAATCCTGCGACTGTGTCTCAAAGGTTGCATATTTTTGATATTTAAAACCCTAAACTTTAGCAAACTTTTGTGTCAGACATAACCAGTTTTATCTGTTCTATCCGAAACTAGTGTTGAATTTTATCAAATTTAAAAATAAGCCGCTGGATTTGGTAGGGTTTGGTGAAAAATGAAGAAAAAGA